AATCTCTATTTAAATCTATTTATTATGTACATAGTCTTCTGTCTGCATGTATGCTTAGATGGCAGAAGAGGGCACCAGATCTCATTACAAATGGTTCTGAGCCACCATGTGGTTGCTGGGAACTGAACTCAGGACCCCTGGAAGAACTGAACTCAGGACCCCTCTTAACCTCTGAGCCATCTCTCCAGCCCCTAGTGAGGCCCTTTTACAAAAAGTCAAAACCTAGCTTGGAGAACAATTGCGGACGAAGCCTGAGATTGACTGTTGGCCTGCACGCACATGTGCCTACATAAACGAAGTTGTAGAATGTCCATTCTTGTCACAGCTGGGAGATGCCAGAGCCACAACAGCCAGGCCTCCAGTTGCCAGGTCAGCACATGAACTTGGAAATCTAGATGAACAAGTCCCCAGTGAAGATTTGATAAACTAGAAGGAATTCCCCAAGACAGGTGGTCCCCAGGCCAGGATGCCCTAGACAAAGCCACATCCAGCCCAGGCTACTGCCTGTCAGTCACCCACTCTAGACAATGGGACATGCTACCCTCTACCCAAGCAGGTCTCCAAACCTCTCAAAATTCTAGAAATTGGATCCCTCTCTTTTGACCCAGGTGTACCTAGAGAACCTTCCTGACCATCACCTTGGTCCCTGGTCACCAGCCTCTGGGTCAGGCACACCTAGGGCTCACAGCTGACCACCACAAGAAGTTGTTATGTTGGGACTGGAGAGATGGCTCAGAGGTTAAGAGCATTGGTTGCTCTTCCAGAAGTCCTGAGTTTAATTCCCAGAAACCACATGGTGGCTCACAACCATCTGTGTGTTGGGGTCTGGTGCCCTCTTCTGGCCTGCAGGCATACATGCAGACAGAACACTGCAGATAGAACACTGTATACATAATAAACAAATCTTTAAAAAAAAAAAAAGGTTGTTGTGCTTGCCGTGCCTCAGTTTCTCCAGAGAGAAGAGAGTAAAACAGTCTCCTTAAAGATGGGTTCACCCCCACCCTCAGCAGAGAGGTCTTCTTTGGAACAAAGGTCTCTGCAGATACAATGTAAGGATCCAGAGATGAAACCACGCTGAATGAGGGGCCCACAGGTACAATGAGGCTTTTTTTTTTTTTTTAGAGAGGGGTCTCATGGAGTCTGGCATGGTCTTAACTTACTGTGTAGCTGCAGAGGACCTTGAACTTGTTATCAGTGTGTGTCTGTGGGGCGTGGGAGGTGTGAACACGCCAGGACTCATGTTTAAAGTCAGAGGACGACTTGCAGGGGTCAGTTCTCTCCTTCCACCTGTGGGTCCTGGAACTCAGCTCGGGTCCTCAGGGTTGATGGCGAGCACCTTTACATGCTGAGCCATCTCACTGGCCCCACTCGTGAACTCCTGCTGTTCCTGCCTTCACCTCCTGAGTGTTGTGACTGCACGCACACACCATCCATGCCCAGTGTTCACAATGCTGGGTTGGGCCCGCAGGCCTCACATACACTAGGCAAGTGCTCCAGTGTTTGAGCCACATCCCAGCCAATGAATCTTTGTCAGACAGGAAGTAGCAGGAGGGAGGAAATCCTAAATGAGGGTTAGATGCATGGCTCAATGGTAGACTCTTTGCCTAGACTCCCCCAGTGTGGCATTAGGGTTTGGCTCAGTGGTAGAGCAGATGCCACCGAACAGGTACACTTCATTATCCATTTAGTTATTTTATTTTGTGTATAATTTTTGAGGCAGAGTGTCATTCTGAACTCACTATGTAGCCCATGCTGGCCCTGAACTTACTATATAGCCAAGACTGGCCTCAAACTGGCAGCAACCCTCCTGCCTCAGCCTCCCAAATGTTGAGATCACAGGTGTGAGCCACCATACCCAGCTGAACTGGTAAACTTTAAATAGGTGGACTCTGTAGCAGGTAAATCATGTCTCCAGAAAACTGTTTTAAAACACTTGCAGGTCAGGCGTGATGGCACGCACCTTTAAACTTGGCACTTGAGAGGCAGAGGCAAGCAGGCAGACCTCTGAGTTCAACGCCAGTCTGGGCTACATATTGGGTCCAGGTCAACCAGGGCTACACAGCAAAACCCTGCAAGGCAGAGAAGGGGTGGTGCTGGTCTGCCGGGCAGAGTACCCCAGAAACAATTCCATCAGAGAAAAAGAAGATGCAGAGGATGGTGAGGTCCAAGGACAGTGTTTGGGGCTTGTGCCACACAGATGGGCCAGCAGGATGAGCCAGAACCAGGGGCATGAAAGGGTCAGGCACGGGAGAGGAGCCGGTATGAATAAATCCAGATGTGCTGGACCTTGGGAAGATGGATATGGAGTAGGTCTAGGGAGCAGTGTGGGGATGAGGCCACATCATAGCATCAGCAAGGGCCCCAGGGGTTCCTACGGCCTTGCACTGAGAGTGACAGAGGTTGGTGAGGGATAGGACCAGGTAAGTGACCTTAAGATAGAGGTTATGGGGTCCAGTTGAGGAGAGCAGGGAAGTAGCATGCATGAATCACTTGGTTCCATCCCCAAGACTGCATAAACCAGCCACAGAAGCACATGCCTCTAATTCCAAAACCCAGAAGGTGGATGCAGGAGGATCAGGAGTTCAAGATCAACTTCGGCCAAATAGAGAATTGGATGTCAGCCTGGGATACATGTGAACCTATCTCAAAGGGGGCTGGGGGAGCTGACTTAAGGTCTGCTCAAACTGGGTAGAAGAGTCTAGGACTCCTGCAAGTTAAGCGGGTTCCCCAGGCCTCCCTATCCACCAGCTTGAGAAGAGCCCTCCCGTTGGCCTGATGGGGCAGCCATTTTCCTGGCAGCCTGTTATAGAAGGCCCAGCTAGGGTCAGCTGGGACTGAAAGCCCTGTGGGTCTCCAGTCCTTACCCCATCCTGGAGCAGCTGAGGTCCTCTCTTGGGGTCAGCTGGGACCAGGTACCAGGGACCACAGCTCTCTAGGTCTGCAGTCTCCACCCCACCCTGAAGCAGCTGAGGACCCTCCCTAGGTCTGTGAGAATATCAGAAGTCCCTGGGCATTAGAAGCATCTTGATTCAGTGATAGGGAAGCACAGGGCTCCAAGGCAGGCCCACCCAGCCCTGGACAGCGTCCAGCTGTCTGCTTCCAGCCTGTGAAGCCACCCTGTAAGCAGCCCAATTAGTATTCACACCAGGTCCCCCAGTTCTATGAGCCCTTGTTCCCCCCAGACAGCAGCCAGGGTGCCTAAGACTCGGGGGGTGGGGTCTCAGTGGAAAGCTATCCCCCAACAAACACTGAAGACCTTACGACGGGGTACCAGGGTAGGGAGCTGCCAACTATAGTATGAAGAAAGAAAGGTCCTTGGGGCTCCCCAAAGCTAGACCAAATCTGAGCTGCAGGAGGGGGCTGGGCATTAAGATTAGGCTCTGTCTAACTCCTCCTCTCTCTATCTTGTCTCTGCCCAGTCTGGCTCTATCATCCCCCACTCCCCTCCTCCATTTCATGTGGTCATGAATGGGAGAGAGCGCACCTGTTGCTTCCCAAACAGAAAAGGGTACCTTCCAGGCACACAGGAGTGTTCGAGGCCTAGTCCTGGTGCCTACCCCATGCCCAGTAACATAGGTCCCTGACTAAGGGTTGCCTGGAGATGTTCCCACAGTCCCCCACATTAAGACATCAACAGTACAAAATGACAAACTCATCTCAGGGTGCCCACGTCAGGCTGCAGAATGAGGGCTGTCCCACACACCAGCCCCCTCATTCACAGTACCCTATCACACACCACCCTGGTATGGTGGGATGGGTGAGTGCTGCCTGCCAAGGGGTCTCAGAAGCTAGCTGTGCCCTGAAATGGAGAGACCCTTCTTTTATCCCTTTGTAGGTGGGAAGCGTCAGCCCGGGGAGGCACAGAGCATAGTACGAGTCGCTACTAGTGACAGAGGGAACTCCCAGACAGTGGGCTGCCCTAGACAGATGTGTATGGAGACAAGGCCCTGGTCATGCCCAGCCTGGCAGCTTCAGACCCCTGCAGCTTTGTCCAGTCAGGCAGCATCCGGGGAGTCTTCAATGTGGGAAGACCATTGGAAAGGGGTCCTGAGTGAAGCCAGGTTCCTCTGAATGGAGTTACTTCATGAGCCAGCACCTTGGCAGTCCATATGTCCTAAGTGGGGCAGGGTGAGCATGGGGCACTCCCTTTGGAGCACCCAGGAAGACTCATTCAGGAGACCACAGGCACTGGTCTGGGAGCCCGTGTAATACCCTGAGCCTGGGGATCCTTGGCTCTGGGTACCTGCAGAGTGGGGCTGCCAAACTGGCCACATCCCTCACATCCCTCACATCCCTCACATCCCTCACAGGAGCTAGGGGGGGGGGGCTATAAGAATGGAGATTCGGTATAGATATTGAGACCTCAGAGAGAGGACATAGTACTGTCCTTAGATCCTGGAGAGGTGGCCTCAGGGACCCAAACCTCATCTTATGCTGTCTCACACAGTAGAAGCTGTGTGTCTCCCAGACACTCCTCTATCTATCTACAGGCTTATAATCAACAAGGAACATCTGGTCGACCTCCGAATTATTTTTTCCAGACTGCTCAGCCCACCTGACCTTACTCCCTTTAAGTCCCGGGCCCCCTGTACAGCGAGATCAAGTATCCCTTATTCTCGCGAGAAAACCCCATCTTGTCCCTGGAGCTTCTAAGATTCCTAGCCACCTGGCTCGCCCCATCGTGCCTTCACCAGCTCCGTCTGTCCCCGACATTTGCCCTTTCGTTCCACACACCACCCCTGTGGGTCTCTTCTGGCACCCCCATTCTAGGAAGATGGATTTCCTAAACGGGAGTGAGGACTGACCTCGTCTCTCCTCTTTTCCAGACTCTCCATTGCTCTCAGACTCCAGGCCTTTGCCCGGGCCTGCGCCTTCCACCCAGAGCACTGCCCTTCTCCCTTCCACCTGGCTGACTCCCATCCAACGGGTAAACTTCAGGCTCAGCAGCTGCCTCCTCCCAGAAGCCCTCCAGTCATGCACTCCCACAGATGCATAATTACCGGGGTAGTGGGTGTCTCTGGCCAGGAGCTGCACATGAAGGGTGGGGACGGTAACCACCGGGCCACCTTGGTCTGGTCTCTCGGCATCTATTGACGTCCAGCCTGTAGTGCATACATCCTATCAGTTGTCTATTTCCCATCTCTGTGTACACCCAGTGGCCATCACACACAGAGCACACGCACGTGAACGCAGGTCCCTCTGTGGACATGCATGCACATGTATATGCACACACAAGGTCGCACGCACTCAGACCACCTCTAACGTGCACCCCTGCGCCTACCCAAGCCCTCACTCACCGCACACACGCCACACACCGCCAGGCGTGCTTGTGTCGCTTCAACGGGTGCCGGGAGCTGGGTAGTGCAAGCGGCTGCTGGCCGCCCCTGCCTGCCAGCATTTGCCAAGCAGTTTCCATGGCGACACATCTTGGCTCTGACGGGAACCGATGTGTGTGGGGAAGAGGGTCCCACAGAGGGAGTAAGATGGGAGGTCTCTATGTCCTCCGCTCCTGGCACTAATGAGGGGGTGTCCCGTAAGTGGAGGCATTCTCATGTTAGGTTTGCACCTCAAGAAGGAGGTTCTGAGCCGCCTGGCACAGGGGCAGACTTAGGTCACTCAGTCATGCAACAAACTCCTAGCATAACTACTCTGTGCTGAAGGCTGGGGCTGCAATGTTGCCTACAATGCAGCTTTACCAAGGACTCGGGGTCTGACGCTAACTCAGTGTCCCCAAAGCCCCTCAGGAGACTCCGATCCAGGGAGGTCACCTGACCTCTCCCTGAGCACCAAGCCCTCTGTTCATCTTCTCAGAGACCACGGACAGAGAGGGGATACTGGGTACCCCTCAGAAAACCTCAGCCCCTCCTCACCCCTCCCTGAGTCACCACATCCTATGCTGTGTTCCTTGCCTGGGTCCTCTTAGAAGTGTATTCTTTCCCCATCTGTCAGCCAGGCCTGTCCCCTGGCTCATTTTGGACAATAAAAGATGACAGACATAGGATTCAGTCAGTAAAGTGATTTCCACGTAAGCATGAGAACTCGAATTCAAACCCCCCCGCCATGGATCTAGAGTCATCTAGGGGATGCACCTCTAGGTTTGCTTGTGAGGGAGTTTCTAGATTAGATGGAAAGAACCACCCTGAATGTGGGGAGGCACCATTCCATGGGTTGAGAGCCCAGGATGAATAAAAGGAAAAAGTGGGCTGAGTTGCTGCATTCATCTCTCTGCTTCCTGACTGTGGCTGCCATGTGACCAGCCACCTCAGGCTCCTACTGCCATGCCTTCCCTGCTCTAGCAGACTGTTCTCTCAAACTGTGAGCTAAAATAAACCTTACTTTCAATTGTTTTTGTGAGCTATTTTGTCGCAGCTGTGAGACATCCAACCAATACTTGACCACTCAGGATTAGTTGTTACACAGTACTAGCTGAATGATACACTCAGAGGCCCAGCCAGTAAACCCCCAGTCTCACACACTCAGTACATAAATGATCACCTAAAAGGCTTCTCAGGGATACTGAGACCCAGGCTTGTATGGGTGCTGGGAAGCAAACCTAGGTCCTCTGCAAGAGCAGCAAGTGCTCTTAAACACTGAGCCATCTCTCCAACCTAAGAGTAAATTTGTTTTTTATTTTCAGATTTGTTTTTTCTTTTATGTATATGAGTGTTTCGCCTGCAGGTATGTATGTGTGGTGCATGCATAACTGTAGCCTGCAGAAGCAAGGGGGTCAAATTCTCTAGAACTGGAGTTAAGGTACATTAACTCCACACCCCATTGTGTGGGTGCTGGGAACTCAACTCAGGTCCTCTGCAAGAACAGCACATGCTCTTAACCACTGAGCCATCTTTCCAACCTGGTAAAATTTCTAAAAGTAATAAAGACCTAGAAATCCTGCTCAGAAGGTGGACAGCCACACCCTGAACACAGTGATGACCGCCACAATGACCGATCAGTGATCTATTATGGTTTGTGTGTCTGAATGGTCCCCTGCAGGGCTTAGAAGAAGTACCTGAGTTCTGAGGACACTGACTAACTGCTGGATTAATTCCCACAAAGATTCATGATATGATAGAATTGCTATGAAGTGGGGTTGGTCAAAGGAAGAAAGTCATTGGGTATCTTGTTCCCACCCATTCCCATCCTTGGTGGTTTGAATGAGAATGGCCAACATAGGCTCATATATTTGAATGTCTGGTTCCCAGTTGGTGGAACTATTTAGGAAGGATTAGGAGGTGTGGCCTTGTTGGAGGAAGTGTGTCACTGGGGGTGGGCCTTGAGGTTTCAATAGTCCACGTCAGGCCCAGCCCCTCCCCCCCTCCTGTGCCACCCCTGCCTATCTGCTTCATGCTTCTTGCCATTATCATGTACTCTAACCCTCTGAAATTGTAAGCAAGCCCCCCATTAAATGCTTTCTTTTATAAATTGTCCTGGTCATGGCGGCTCCTCACAGCTATAGGGCAGTAACTAAGATACTGTATCTCTTTGCTCCCCAGCCTCCAGGAGGTAAGCAACTGTGCCCCATTTTGCACTGTCCTCCATAAGGCAAAGCAACCATAGACGAATACCACTGAGCCAAAACAAATCTTTTCCCCCTTATCTTCTCAGGGCTCTGTCACACAAAAAACTAACACATGCTCAAAATAAACATATTCCACAGGGGCTGGAGAAATGACTCAGTGCTTTAGAGCACTGACAGCTCTTCCAATGGACCCTGGTTCAGTTCCTAATACCTATTCGGTGGCACAGAACTCTCTGTAACTCCAGTTCCAGGGCTAGAGAGATGACCCTGTGGTTAAGAGCATTAACTGCTCTTGCAGGGGAACTGAGCTGGGTTGCTAGCCCCATGCTAGGTGGCTCACAACTGCCTGCAACTGCAGCTCCAAGAGATATGACCCCATATGATGACCTCTGTGGACATTACACTTCATGTGTGTGTGCGCACATGCACGCGCACACACACACACATAATTTTAAAAATAAAAAGATTGACAATGTTGTCAGTGGGAAGCCAAGAACAAGGTGGGTGCAAAGAAGTAAATGCCACTGACTTTGGGGACATCAGTACTATCAGATGATGTTGCCTTGTGTTGTGGTTTGAATGTGGTCGAGTATGTCTCCCAAAGGCTCGGTGCTGCAAGTTTGGTCCCCGTCTGATCCTGCTGCAGGGGTGAGAGACAAGAGGAGCTCACTGGCCAGCCAGTCTAGCTGTATTGGTGAACTCCAGGCTCAGTGAGAGACCCTGTCTCAAAAAATAAGGTGGGAAAGCTAGACCGGTGGTTAGGGGAACTGGTTGCTCTTCCAGGGGCTCCAGGTTTATGGCCATCACCCACACCAGGCAGTTCACAACCACCTATGACTCCAGTTCCATGGGACCCAATGCCCTCTTCTGACTTCTGCAAGTACCCAACCAAAGATGAAGGAGGAAGAAGAGGAAGGGGAGAGAGAGGAAGAAACCTGATGTCAACATATGGATACACACATATACAGGGTCGGGGAAAACCGGTATCAATCTCTGGTGAATGCATATGTGTGAGCACACATACACACACACTCAGTGTGCACACGCACACACACAGGAAGGAGGTGGTGGTGCAAATCTGACCTTTACATCACGTATACACTCCTTCTGAATGAAGCCGTTCCCACCTCTGCTGAGAGCCAGGCAATCCAAGGCTTTCTCAGAACCCCAATGAAAAGACAAAAGGAACCTAATTCTGTCTTTGCCAGGGGAAAACTTGGCAAGGTCCAGTCCGGGGCTGCGACCTGGGCTTTGAAGGAATTAAGGTCTTGACTCCTGGATACTTGGCTCTCCCCCTGAAGAGACTGGAGTTATCAACCTCAAGGCTTCCATGTGCTCTGTCTGATGACATCCTTGAGATAATCTTGTTCTCCTTGTGCGACATTGCTTGGTTGGCCTCCTGCTGATCTTGTCCCATTGTATAATGGCTTTCGGCTGGCTCCATCCCATTTTCCCCACAAATAGTGTAGAGGATGCTGTACTTTTTACTAAACATGAGTGGTATATAAGACACAACTTGTGCAAGACCTCCTGAGCCCACATGACCTATCTTTATCTCTGACCCTTCCTCCTCAGGACTCTGTCACTGAAGAACAACCTGTTGGTCCAGATCTCTTCCCTACCTCCACTCTCCCTGAAACAGCTAAGGTACTCTCGGGCAGGCCTTGGGGCTATGCTGTTTGGGCCTCCCACCTATCGGAATTGTGACAGAAACCATTTTACTTTACAAGTTGTCTGGACTTGGCAATTCTGCTACAGCAACACAACAAGAATGGAGACCTAGGGACCATGGAGGTGGAGGCACAGGTCAGACCTCCAGTTGTTGCCTAGCATCTCAGCGTGAGATTCTCACTGGATCTCAGTCAGGCCTCTCCAAGTCGGTGTGCAGGCTGTTGTTAACTTGACATTAGCTAGTTATTTTGGAAGAGAGCACCTGGATTCAGAAAATGCCCCTGCCAGATTGGTCGGGAAGCAAGTCTGTGGTACATTTTCTTGATTGGTGATTGATGTGGGAGAACCCAGCTCGTTGTGGGCAGTGCCATCCCTGGGCGGATGGTCCCAGGTGCTTTCAGAAAGGTCAAGTAAGCCACAGAGTGCAAGCCAGTAAGCAGCACAGCCTCTGCATCAGCTCTGCCTCTAGGTTCCTGCACTGCTTGGGTTCCAGTCCTGACTTCACTGATGGACTGTAATGTGAAAGTATAAGACAAATCAACACCTTCCTTATGGTGTTGCTTATGGCCATGTTTTTTTTTTAAAGTAATTTTATTAAATTATAAAAGTTTCCATTTACGCCCCTCTTCCCAACACCCTCCCACTCCCCCCACCCGTCTCCTCCTCCCTCTTTGTCCCTAAGGGCAGTCAGGATCTAATGAGAGTTTACCAAGGCCAGTTGGACTGCGACTGAACGAGGACGTGATCCAACCAGATTCTCTGAGTGTGGCCGGATTCTCTGAATGTGGCCATGGTATTTTTTACAGAATGGAAACCCTAAGACATCTGGTGAGGGCATCCATAGACAAGAGAAGTGAGACTCGGCCAGACTGAGTGAGCTGCCTGAGATGTAGGTAGCTAGCTAGGCATTAGCAGGCCTGGAAGGCACTGGAGTTTGGCCTCTCGCAGTCAGTAGCCTATACGAGTCAGGACTGGATCGCAGACTTGAATCATTAGCCAGAAGAATGTGTTGAAGTCATATCTCTGGGCCTGTGAGTTGTGACATCCTGAACGGCCTGGAAGGTCATTCAAACCCTGCTCCCAGAACCCCTGGTCTGTGTAAGATGACGACAGTATGCACGAGGCTTTCTGACTAAGAGTAAAGATGTCTCATTCCTCCCTCCAGGACCTGAGGTGAGTGCTAATAC